GAGGAGTAGCGTTGGTCTCCTCTTTAGAAAAAGTAGCGCGTCCATCATGTCGGACAAAAACAACGCTGTACGATGCTCCATCTTCTTGTTTCTCCAAAATGCCCAGCAGCAGTTGTAGACACTTCTGACGTCTGACACCGACCTGCTGTTGTTGTTGACGGTTGGATGAAGTGTTTCTTGTCAAACGGACCTGCTGTAGCGTGTTGTAGCGCCATCGCTAAACTGTCCTCCCTCGGGTCCTGGACTATGTCACTTTATCCTCGTTGTAGAAGTCCTGCAAACATTGTGTTTGCTGGTAGTCTGTTGGCATCTACAGTAGCACCAATGCTTTTGACTTTCACCTTGACTGGGCCCCATTTGTAATGATCTGAAGTAGTGATGCACGATATGAAAAATTTCAACCGATACCGATAACCGATAATTTTCTTCTTCTCATGGCCGATACCGATACCGATAACCGATAAATTCATATTTTTACATTTATTATAATCTTCATATAATCTGCAGTTTGTGCAGGATGCAGCGATTAAAAACTGATGTTTTTGTTGCTCTGGCCTATCTAGAACAACAAACTAAAGTTTTTGGCTCTTCAAATGTTTATTTTTTCCATGTCATCACAAAAATATAGGTATAAATAACAATAACAGAGCAAAAAGCAGAACTTCATTTGATCCCCTGAACTGTTCAACAGAACTGTAAACTGTAAAGGAGCTATTATGAGACGTTAGGCTTAGCATGCTGACCGGACTAACATCTGACGTCCATATATCTGTGGTAAAACTCACGTGTAGTCCGTTCTTGTCGATCAGGTTGTGAATGTTTGTGGCGACAATATCATAGAGTGCAGGAAGAGACACATCCGAGAAGAAGCGGCGGCTTGGGAGAGTGTAACGTGGCTCCAAGTGTGCTATTAACTTGCGAAAACCCGGGTTCTCAACGACGGAAAAAGGCTGGTCGTCGACCGCTATGAACTCCATCACTTTGTCGTTAATGGCTTTAGCCTTTTCGCTGTCTCTTGAGAAGCTTTTGCAGTTTTTAAACGCCTGCTGAATGGGGACATCGATCCTCCGTAGTGTTGTTGTCTTAGCTTTAGTACCGCTAGCAGCTTCGGCGGCTGTCTCATATTCTTTTACTACCGCTTCGCCGCGATGGCGACTTTTCAGATGAGCTATCAGATTCGCTGTGTTAATACTTGACGTCTTCTTTCCTCCTCTAGGAATCCTCGCTGAACAGGTTTTGCATATAGCAGCTGTTGTCATCTTCTGCCACTGAGAGAAACGACCATGCTGGTGAAGACATTTTATTATCTGTCAGGTAGTGACGGGGTCAGGCTTGGGACCTGCGAGTAAGGCGCGACGGGCGGTTACTCCGCCTGCAAATGTTACTTGTAATTTCATTAATATATCGGATCTTTCTATCGGAAAAATGCACCTATCGGACCGATAAAAAATGACGCAATTTTCCCCCAAATCGGCCGATATTTTATCGGTCCGATAAATATCGTGCATCCCTAATCTGAAGTATTTATCTGCATTATATCTGAATTTAACTGGAACGATACGAGCGAGCAGGAGCGTCTGTTTGTGGGCGGGGCTTAAGAGAGGGAGGGGAGGAGCTGAGGGGAAAACTGGTTGGAGGGGTAGAGTTTACATTCAAGATTTCTCCTAAAAACTGGAACTAACTCAGATCCTGACTACAACACCTTTAAAGCTCGTTAAAGTCCAATTACATCAGAGTAAAGGAAGTGATGTCAGACAGGTCTCACCCTGATTATTGAGGTGTGACGAAGAAGACGCAGCAGACCGCCGGTGTCCTAGCTGAAGCCGTTTGATAGACGATTAGACGTTTTTTTTTTTACCTGCATCTGAAAATGTTTAAAAGTTTTAAAAAATTTTAAGTCTGAGGATTTTTTTTGCAAACTCAGCTTTTTTCCTTTAAAAACTCCCAGCATGCTTCTTACCGTAAAAACTGAAGATTTACTTCCTGTTCTGCAGTTACAGAGACGCGCCGCACAGACTCAGGCCCTCAGTTTCAGTCACCGCCTCGAACCCTCAGCTGAGATATTTATCTCCTGACGTGACGCCGCACAGATCGGCGGTGTGTGGCCAGCAGGCGGAGGGGTCGGGGGTCGACTTGTGGACATGTTGTGGTTTTGTTTTGTCCGTTTTAGGGACGACAATGACACAGATTTCCTACCCATTGACCTCCTTTTGTGCCGAGGTTGCAGAAGTGACGAAGGGGGTCAGCTGTGATGTGGTGTTTTATGGGGTGACAGCGGTGGTCTGTTGACCTCTGACCTCTGCCCGGTCACGGAGGAGAAAACAAACATGTGCTCCTTTTCAACGGGCTCTAAATCACGAGGGACTGCTGCTGCTGTTCCACTTCATTAAATGGATTTGAACTCCTGCTCTGTGGTCAAGATTAGTCAGCAGTGACACACACACACACACACACACACACACACACACACACACACACACACACACGTGCGCAACAAGTCAGGAGAAAAAAAAGGGTTTTCATGGTGTGAATAAGGTCATCAGAGGTTTTCTGACCCTCCTCTGTAATCTGGATTAAACCGCTCTGACTGATCTTTTCTTCAATATAAAATATAAACATTTAACTTACTTATTTAAGTCACAAATCAATCTCTCTTTTTGTTTAAGTTAAAATCTTTTATTGTTGTTGTTTTTCTGCAGCCAGTCCTCGTTTCTTCAAAGTCCAAACTCAGCATAATTTTAAGGAACTTAAGTCAGAGAGTGACCTCCACATCGGTGAGAGGGCGCTGTTTAACGTGACACTGGAAAGTTAACGAGAGGGAACTTTTTATGTGATACGAGAAAAGTTTTAGGGGAACAATTTTTTTTGTTGTAGACTGTAACCCCCAATTTCCACCGGCTCTGAAACGTCTACGAAAAGGCCGTATCAGCTGATCGTAGCTGATCGTAACCGTTCAAGTTCATCTGTCCGGCTTCTCTCCGTTCCTCTGCGGATCTCAAGAGTTCTACATTCTACATTTCAACTGTTGTCAGAATGTAGTTTAGGATCATCTGAAGGTCTTCCCTGGAAAAATCTTTGTCTGGATGGACGCAGATGTTGCTCCTAAACCTGGAGATGTTGTCTAAAACTGAGGATGCAGCATCTATGATTTCCAGTTCTTCGTTGGAAGAACTTTCCAAAAGAGTGTAACCCCCGACCTCCACCTTCATCCTGATCGTCTCCTAAAAGGTCGTATCCTCCGATCGTAGCTGATCGTAACCATTCAAGTTAACGTGTCGATTTACACCGACTTCTTTCCGTTCCTCTGCAGATCTTACAGCCTGAGGCAGATCGAATCTCTGTCGTCCACGCTGAATTGTTTTGGCGTGTCGGTGTAGCCTTTGACATGACAGAGCAGCAGAAATAATCCAGATAATTGACTTTAAAATCCTCATTAGGCCTCGGCTCTGCAAACCCAGCGCTGTCCGCTCCTTTTCTGCTGAATTCACAGCTATGAACAGGCGCCATTTTGTCATCTCTATTTTATATGTATAATCATTGAGGTAAACTGCAGGTCTCTCTTCCTTCTAACTCCTGATCTCAAACTTTTAAGATCTGTTCTCTCAAACTTTAACCCTGAAGGACACAGAAGGGGCTCAAAGTGCATCACAGAGTAAAAAGACTATAAAAGGTCTCGTCTTTAAATCAACTCGGCGCCGTCTAGACTCGACGTCTCGGTATTTCAAAAACCCTCCAGACACCAGACAGACACGTCCCTGAACCGTCTGAGCGCTCTAAATAAAACACATTTCATGCAAGTCACTGAACATTTCCTGTTCTTCGCCGACGATACCACCCACAGCCGGCGAACACACAAAACCCCGGCGTGAGGAGGCCGTCACAGGTTCAAACTCTCACGCAGGAATTAGCATGAGAGCCTCCGGGATCCTGCTTGTTGCTCCTGCTCTTTGCCTCCTGGCGGCCCCCGCCGGAGGAGCGCTGAGACAATAGCTGGTTTGTGTGGAAGTTTGAGGAGTAAACGGCGATGTGGGGGTGCGGTTGTTGTTGTTGTTGTAAACGCACGTATGAGCACGGGGAGGGTGTGGCGGGGCTGTTAAAACGCAGACACTGACAGTCGCCTTGAACTTGAACCCCCGTGAGGTCCCCTTGACCTTCGCTCTTTTCCCGTGCTCCTCTCTGCCCTCGGCGGCGGTGGCGGCCTTTGTTGAGCTGTCGGCATTAACTCTTCGCGCCCCCCTCTCCTCTCACATCCTCCCCCTCTCACTCCAGCACCTTTGCTGGGGGGCCAAACCTCTCTCCTCCTCCTCCTCCTCCTCCTCCTCTTCTTCCTCTTCTTCACTCACTCGCTGGTTTTTTAGGGGTACACCCATCTGGTCGGTAACAAACGCCCCAGTGGGGAATTTTGTTTTCCCAGAATGCTAATCTGACCTGAGGGGCTTTTATTCCCACATTGTGGGATCTGGATATTTATTCTTTTGTTTTGGTCGAAGAAGAAGAAGAAGCTCTGCTGGATTCCTGTGATAAGGACACACGGGGAAACCTCTGGAGTCTGGAAACACAAGAATATAACTAAACTGTTACTGTGTTTAATAATAACTCATGTTAGTCTCAAAACTACACAGAAAATCTAAACTTAAAGGGAAATTCTGCCTTTTTTTCATGTCTGGATGGACGCAGATGTTGCTCCCAAACCTGTAGATGTTGTTTAAAACTGAGGATGCAGCATCTATGATTTCCAGTTTTTCGTTGAAAGGACAACTGGTCTTACTTGGGAAGTTTCGCCTTGTTAGAGTGTTAGAGTGTTAGATTTTGATCCATCAGACCTCAGGACAGTTAACAGACAAGTGATAAGTTCAACAGTTTGACCGTTTCACTTGCATTTGCGACTGAAAATAGATGTGTGTGAATTGTAAAATGTATTTAGGGGCATTAAAAAAATCAGCTGAGGCAACAAATGTTTTTTTCTTCCTGTATATACAGCGGTGAAGTTAGTTTCAGGTTGGATATATTTTCCTGTAAATACGGCGGTGAAGTTAGTTTTAGGTTGGATATATTTTCCTGTAAATACGGCGGTGAAGTTAGTTTCAGGTTGGATATATTTTCCTGTAAATACGGCGGTGAAGTTAGTTTCAGGTTGGATATATTTTCCTGTAAATACGGCGGTGAAGTTAGTTTCAGGTTGGATATATTTTCCTGTTAATACAGTGGTGAAGTTAGTTTTAGGTTGGATATATTTTCCTGTAAATACGGCGGTGAAGTTAGTTTTAGGTTGGATATCTGATGGACATTCTCTGAGGATCTACCGGTGTCTTCTCACTCTCCATAACCGGGAATAACAACAGCAGTGCAGTTAAATCTACTCGACACCCTGTTGAATAAGGGACCGTCAATAAATTACCGGTTGATGTTTTCAGAAAAGGCTGTTTTCCTTCAATAGCTTCACTGTCATGTGATCAAAAGACCTAAAATTGATTTCTTATAATAGTACTAAGGTCGACCAATAAGACAAACATTATTTGATCAATTTTCATTGTGCCCCTAAAGTTCTTTGTGTGCTCTTTACTTTTTCAATTTAGGAGAACATTTAAAAAAGTTAGTGTCGAACCCCTGAATAAGCCCATGCGGTGACTCCAACTACAGAGTCCTGATGCTCCTAAACCTGGAGATCTAGTTCAGCATTAATGGAGTCTTCACAGATGTAGAAGATACCCCTGACATGGACTCTGACGATCCTCGTACCATCAGGGATGTTGGATTTAGACTGGGAGCTGGTCCCTCTGCTCTTTAGAGAGGAGGTTTCAGGGTCCAGGATTGATTGTTCAGATTTTGATCGGTCAGGTTACAGGATAGTATCTGGATTTCGTCAATATCTGAGGTTTTTGGAAGTGGTTTTGAGTCCCTGCGGTGATCTCCACTCCAGAGTCCTGTCCTGGTTCTGGTCCTTTAATGTGTTTGCTCTTCTTTAAACACAGCAGCTGTTCGCGTCTCCAGATGCCTCTGCAGCGATGAGGCCTCACTGTACAGCCTCATATCCAAATGAACATAAAGTCGGTTAATGTTCATTACCCTCTAACAATAACACTAACTATCTGTGAAGCAGACTGGGAGGGTACGGAGGGGCGGGCGATTACAGTCAGTGTGTTTACACGCACACTCAAAGCTTTGTTTAAAGCTCTAATAGGTGATTTAACTGGACTTCTGTCCTTGTTCCAGTTTACAAGCTCTGAGTAAGAAGTGAATGACTGAAAGAAGCATGTCCGCCTCTGCTCTGGTAGGTGGCAACATGCCCCCCCCCCCTTTTCAGCCTGTTTACTGGGTCGTCTCCTGATTGGTCTATTATGGACCGAAACACCTTAGCAGGCAGCTCACAGGGTTTACGCTTCACGATGAAAACACGGTCACTTTCAGCTTCCTCTTTCTTTCTCTGTCCAGATTTTACATTTAACCTCCTGAGCAGCTCGTTTGTGTGATTTGACTTAGTGTGTAAACTCTTGTGTGGAACGTTGAGGGACATTTTCAGTCAGGAACACGGTCAAGTTTAGAGTGATCTCATTTGGACTGACGTGTTTACCTGTATTTTTAATTTTGTATTTTTAACAAAAGTCAAGTCCCAGTCGGTTTAATGTGATGAATCAAGAGATACGTTGAATACTGAGCATGATTATTGGTTCTCCTGTCTGTGTTAAACACTTTTAACGAAAACCTTTGACATAAATTCACTTCAGTTAAAGGACGTCTCAGCTGACTCGAGTCTGTTTACAATGACATTAAAAAGCCGATAAAAAAAAATCGGCTTTAGAAGCACCGAGTTCGGCATCATGAAACTTCTTTTATTAATATGTTATGAAAAGCATGTGGAGTCATAGAGCACACAGGATAAACATGATAAAGCATGATAGCAGGAAAAATGACAAACTCTGTTATTTAGTTCTCCAACTTTATTTTTTTTTTGACAGTTTTTTTTTCCAAACAACTTTATTATCACCTGTTGCAATTACAATTGACAAATAGATACAAACAGGTAATACAAAGTCCATAATGTTGAAACAGTAAAGAGAAAAGAAAGGAAAAGAAATAGAAGAAAAAAACATATCTAGGGTACGGAAGATAATGCATTCACCAAAAAAAAGCTGTTTTTCAGACCAATTTTTCTGTTTTTCAGACGGGTTTTTGTTTTGTTTTTTTAGACTAGTTGTGTTTCCTGTCCTCTGGGATCATGATCATTTAAAAACAGACGCTTTCATCCTCCTCCAATCGATTTATTGGAAATAAACAACACGGCCCATTTGTTTATTTTAATCAAGTTTGACTTTCTTTTGAGACTCTGGGAGATTCTTCTTTCTTTAAGTCACATCGATGGAATCATCAGAGGATTTACATACTCTATGTTTAACTGATAACATGTTTTACTCTCATCGACCCCGCAGTCAAAGTTATCATGGAGCTGGAGAATCAGCTGATTTGGAGCAGCTGTGGTGGTTAATGTGATCTGACTGTATGAGATTCTCACAGGATTTTGAAGTATCTTGTTTTGTCAGGAAAAAAAAGTCAGAAAAACAGAAAGATGAAAAAAATAGAACAAAACAAAATTGTGTCCAAAAAACAGAAAGACAAAAAAAGTTTGAAAAACAGTAAAAATAAAAAAGAAATAGAACAAAAAAAAAAATAAAAATAAACATTTGTCCGATAGGCAGAAATAGGGGAAAAATATTCCTACATAAAACAGAAGAAAAAATAGAAAAACAGAAGACAAAACAAAACAAAAAAAAAAACAGATAAAAATTTGTCTAATAAACAGAAAGACAAAAAAATATATTCTAAAAAATATAAAGACAAAAGAAAATAAAACAAACAAAAAAACAGAATAAAAATCCATCCGAAAATATAGAAGAGCAAAAAAAAAAAAAAAACATAGCCTGAAAAACAAAACAAACAAAAAAAAAAACAGAATTAAAATTTGTCTGAAGAGCAAAAAGAGGGAAAAACGTATTTGTACAAAAAACAGAAGAAAAAAATTGGGAAAAAATACAGAAAGAGAGAAAAAAATCGTCCAGAAAACAGAAAAAAAAAAATTGTTTCCTTTTTTTTAATGAAGTTAATGCAAAACGCTTCCATACTCGGGGATACAAACTGACAGTTTACCATATAGGAGCTCTAAAGAGAAATTAAACACGGTTCAGACAGTCATAGTTTTCATTCCTCCAACTTTTATCCACATTCTGAGTTTCTGGTAAGTTAACTAACATCTAACTGGAGGCATAAATTATTCTTTCAGTTTTTTAAATTTTAGGACTATTTTCAGTTTATTGTTTTATGCATGCATCCAAAGTTTAAGGCGAGCATGTCTCATCTTCCTGCAGAGTTTCCGTCCTCCTCTTTAAATCGTCTGAACCCTCGCTGACACCTGAACTTTCGCCCTCGTCCTTTAGCGAACATGTTGACGAACACTGAGCCGTTAACTCCCTCTACACGACTGTAAAACCTCAGTGAGCTCCACTCTCCCCTGCTGTTGCCCCTGTTTACAGGATTTTACCTCCCAGCGTCTCGCTTTCCCAGGAGCTCTGCCCTCATTGTGTCTCTCGCCATTATCATTGTTTTTAAGTTTTTGTCGTTTTTGAGAGATTTGTCGCCAAAATTAGGACCTGTCACTGATCAAATACTGATGCTGCTTTCAAAAGAGGCGCATTACAGTTTTTATTTTGTCACAACACCTCCCTGACGCGACACATCCTGGATGCTCAGAGCGGCAGAGAGGAGGAGGAAGAGGAGGAGAGGAGGAGAGGAGGAGAGGAGGCGAGTGATTTAATCTGCTAATTTTTCTCAGGTCTTTTGGCTGTTGACAGGCAAGCGTAATGGTCCTTCAAGTAATGGAATCAGCCACTCAAGCAACACACACACAAGTACACAGGGTGGCTCACAGACGTGCACGCACACACACACACACATTCAGCCGCTGAAAGCACGCCTGCTTTGCATTTGAATGACATCACCGTAAAGTTTTTCTGGGGAGGTTTTGGCGGTTGGGGAGGACGGAGGGGGACGTGGTGCAGAGGAGCGCCCTGAAAGGGAAAACATTAGTCAAATCACTTCCCGCTTCAGTCACCCGGCCCGGACAAACTACTTGACATTCCACAACAGAGCTCGCTCGCCTTCCTTCGCCGAGAAAAGCATCCTCACTGATCCGGACGTGGAGCTCGTCAGGCCCGAGCTGCAAAGTTTCTTCGAGTATTTCCCCTTCATTATAAAAATACTAAGCTCTGAGAAATTGCCTCTGGGTGTGAGTGGATTTTAAACCCCGTATTTAAGTCTGAGCTGCGTGCAAACTGAGCAAAACGAGAAAATAAAGAAGTACAGTCGCTGTCAGTGGGTTTGAGGTGGAGACTCTTACGGTCCTCTCACCTGCAGGGAAACTTTCTGAGACGTGCAAGGCTGTCAGTTTTTAGAGAAGCAAATATTATCACATAACGTGCAAAAAGCAGGACAAGCCGCTGCAGTTTTCTCTCTGCATTCATGCAACTTCAGGTTTTCCTGCAAATACTGTCAGTAACTTCAAGAGTCAGTCTGATTTACAGCATCACAGTCCGTAACTTCGATTCAAATCTGGACCTCACCTCATGTTTGGATAAAGTTTGTTGATTCTCCTGAAACCATGAGTGGGTTTATTCCCAGGAGGTCCCGTAGATTTGTGTTAAATCCTCATGACTGAATCAGCGTTAAAACTATTTCAGAAGCAGGGTTAAATCTTCTCTTTTTTAGATGCTTATCTGTTGTTTTATGTTTATCTGAGCTATAATCAAACAACTCAACTCAACTCAACTCAACTTTATTTGTAGAGCACTTTAAAACAACCACAGCTGTACAAAGTGCTGTACATAACAGGACAAAAACAACAAGATAAAAAACAATCAAGAAACAATTAAAACAATGGATAAAATAAAAGCAGAATTAATAATAAAATATAGCTTCAATGTTTTTAAATGCTTAGCTGTTGTTTTTTGTTTATCTGAGCTACAATCAAACAGGTGAATTACTTCTATAAAAGTTGGTTTTGTTGCTGGTCACAGGTCTGCTGGAGTTTGACTTTGCATCTGTATATTTAAGCACTCGTTACTCATGAGTATCTTCTGCATGTTGGAGCTGAGCAGTTTGGCAGGGATAGCAGAGAAGAAAACTGTGATAAAGCTGCAGACATCAGAGACGAGGAGGGACAGACTGGATACCTGAGAATCAAACTTCTTAGTTTTAAAAAGGGCCGACAGGAAACTCTTTAAACTCTGAAAACAACATTTTAACTGAACTTTTCAGGATTTTTAATAAAAGTATCTTCTGTCGTTGTTCTGCAGTAATGCGGGAAGCAGCAGCCTGACCTGTGCCGAGTATTCTCACCAGGCAGAGTCAGTATGTCAGAATGAACACAGCATGTTTTATTATATATTTACTATAAAATACTTACAGTTTAATACGTTTCCATGGTGATGACTCAGTTAAAATAACATGCACCTGCTGCAGGGGGTCAGGAGACACACATGGACAGAGGGATGTGTGATATAAGAGGATGATGATTTATTCCTGTTAAATTATAATCCACATCAGCTGCAGAGGATTATTTTAAATCTGGGTTTTGTCTGTTTTTCTGTATCATAAACTTCCTCCTTAAGTTGTTTTTAAGTCTAAATCACAGTAAGACCCGTACTAACTCTGTGATTTTTCCTGATATTCTTCATTTGATTTTCTTGATCATCTTGGAGCCTTAATTTGTAAATACACGACACCCTCACTTTATCCTGCTGTTCGTTCGTTTGTTTTTGGACTCAGACCTGCACATGCATCCTTCACTCCAGACTAAGAAGTTAATTGATTTGTATGAATCCACAGATCTGCTTTCTTTGTATTAAACTGATGTTTAACTTTAGTGCATCAATGATTTTGAAGTTACTTCACATTTTATGTCCAGGTGTGCAACAATCCTGGTTTCTTTAAAACGACCTGAGCTGCACTTGGATCGACGTGTCATTTCATGTAAGGCTGAACTAAACTGCAGGTTAAAACACAATCATTAAAAAAAGACTGAAGTCTTTGACAGGTTCATACAGACAACTGTATGGTTTTAGTCACACAAATGTAAAACTAGAAACAGACAGAAAAAAGAAAGTGAACAGCTGAACCATTTTTTAAGAAGAGGAATAATAATCTGGTGGCCTGTTGCTGAAAAATCTGTGGATTTATACCTGAATGTTTGTTGTTTTAAAGGTTTTGTAAAAGTACAGGAATGTCTAAATATTGTTATAAAAATATCAGATGAAGGACTTTAATACGGTCAAACTCGAGAGTAAAATATTTAAGTGTTGGGAAGTTTAATCTGAAAGATTATTTCATCATAATTCATAAAAGGATCCTTTGTGTGTGAAATCCTAATCTGCAAAGCTGCTACCTCAGCCTCCAGATAAAAACAAACTGTGACTGCGACACTGCAACACTCGTCTGTGAGCAGGACGTGTCGATTCAGACCCAAACCCAGAGTCTCTCTCTGGTTTGAGGTCCTTGAAGTCCTTGAAAAGGTCCTGGAGAAAAAACACCAAAGTTTGGTATCATATAAACAGAGCAGGTCAAACTCTTTCTGCCATAAATAAAAGTTATTTATTCATAAATCAATATTTTATTTCGGTTTAAAATTTCTTCAACAGGAAAAGATGAAAATCTCGTTTACAAAAGTGTTCAAGTTACAAACAGAACAAAACAAGAACAAACAGATTCCTGAATGTACTTTCATTAGTTTACATCTTTGTTTTATTCAGACACACGACCTCATTTTTAAGATGTTAATTACACCGAGTGACAGACGCTCAACACAAACGACCTTTTGGAGACTAAATAATACGACGGACCAGGTCTACAAAACAAAACCATGAACCAGGTCTAAAGGTGCAGAAGTATCTCCAACATCAGTCCTCATATAAAAACCCTTTAAAGGGACCCGGCATCACCCAGAGTGACCCCATCACTCTGGGGTCAAAGGGCAAAAGTCGAACCTTCATAATCCAGAGAGTTCAGGGTTTAAGAGGAGGCGTGAACACGTTAAACACGTGAAGAAAAACACGACTTTTCTCAGACTACAACTTCAACTTCTTCACAAGTTACTAAATATGAAGCTTCAGAAGCAGAATTATCAACTAAAAATCAAAGATATTTATGAGAAGAGACAGACTGAAGCAACATCACCTGAAAAAACAAATCAGAACATTAAAAAATGATTAAAAAACACCTCAGAATAAACATGTCCTCGTATTTATTCTGCAAAATAACAAATCAGTCTCAGCACATCTCCTCAGATTATTATTTTCTCTTTAAATCTGGAAAAGTGAAATTAATATTACATTACTATAGTGTAAAATAAGGTAAAATATTGATGTTTAACTGTCAGACTTTTGGTAATAAGAGATAAAATTCAACGTAAATTACAAAAACACACTTTAGGTCACGCAGGACTCGATCCACGTATGTAAACTGACATTAGACACACTTTGTAAACATAAATGACAGAGTTAAAGTAAATTTAGAAAAAAGAGAGAAAACAGAAAAATGAGAAAAAAAAGAAAAAGAAAAAATAATGAGGAGATAAAAACTGAAGAAGAAACTGCTCCTTCAGGGTCGGTGTGTTTGATACAGTTAGACTGCAAGTGTGTGAGCTCAGATGATGCCGCACACACACACACACACACATGTGCATCTGGACAGACGTGCACACACACGTGCACGAACACACACTTTATTTCTCATCGTAATTCTCACAACAGGAACTCTTGCAGGAGGACGTATATGTGGAGCTCTGTTTGGTCTTCGGTTTAGTTGCCGAGCTGCTCCGTCAGTGGGGGGTGTTGTTGGGTGGGGGGGTGTTGTTGGGTGGGGGGGCGTTGTTGGGGAGATGGCGTTGGGGGAGGGGGTCAGCTACAGAAAAAAAAAAAAGGTGGCCCGATCTGGCCGGACGCCCACTTTTTCTTGGCACTGACCACGCTCGGATCTAAAGACACACACATCCTCTGTCATGGCGACCGAACAGTTTCCCTCCAAAATCAGCCTCAGAATGGCGTGCTGGGGGAGCATTCCTGCATACCAATGACCGTCCTGAGGAACTGCTGAAAGGAGCGCCACCCGAGTCCCTCCACCTTGGACGTGGACCAAAACCCGCCATTTCCCACTTCGGACCCCCTCTGACACCGGCCCTTGTGTAAACGTCCATCAATTGTTTGGCTCTCAGTGCGGCCTTTCCATTTTCTAATAATCTGCTCGGACATTAATGTCACCGCGGCGCCATCTTGGAATCGGATCCCCTCGGTTTCAGGATATAGGGAACAGCCATTTTGTGTGTTGTGTCCAAAAGAAGCCACGCCCTTCGCCGGTTTGAGCGTCCCCGTACGCGAGCTCTCCTGTCCTCTCGGAGACGCCGAAATGATGGAGTGCGTGGAGGACTGATTTCAGTCTCGCAGACGTGACAAACCTCAGAGAGCGAGCAGCTATAACTTAGACTCTGATCCAACATGGCTGCAAATGACAGGCTGCTTGTTCGCCGTCACTCCAGCTCGCTCTAGTGTGCTTAACACTGACACTCAGTTCATTAAGGCCTATAGAGCTCGGCTAATGCAACTCGCCTCTTGGCAGCATGACAAAAACTGTGAATCAGATTATGAGGGGCCGTAACGCCGCCAAGAAACACGCAGGGCGAGGGGAGTTGTCACGGAGGGCCGGCGCTCGCTCGCTCGCTCGCTCGCTCTCTGGATGTAAACGCCGGGGACATAATGTAATTGCAGGCTGCCCTGGTTAATAAGGGCAGTGTAATATTTGCATGGAGCTGCTGTTTATGTGTACTACGGCTCATTTGGACGCACAGCGCGGCTGTAAACAAGAGGAGAACGGCTTGTAAAGCCGCCGCCGCCGCCGCCACGCACCAAGGATGCAGACACCCAAGGGGCTGCGTTGGAGCGGCGTTAAAAAGCTCTTTCATTGCGTTACAGGAGACTCCATAAAAGAGAGGGATAAATGAAAAGAGGCGCGTGATCAACCTGTACAGTTAAGGGTTACATTTCATTTGTTTTACGGAGGATTTCCCTCTTTTACATGACAATGCTAATGAATTGTGAGAGGCCCATATGTCGGTGTTGGCGCGTTCGCCATATGTGGTGTCAGACAGCGAAGCACGCCGGGGAAGTGTTGAGCACAGCACGCCGAGGCCTGCACACACATCACCCGTGATGAGGCTCTTTGTTTCACCTCCGTGTGCGAAACCATCAGGTTAATGGCACATTTGGACGCTTTTTACCTTATTATGCGTTTAGACGCCGCCGCCGACGAGAGAGAGAGAGAGAGAGAGAGAGAGAGAAACAGGGTCAAGATTTTCACAGAGCATCTTTTGTTTGATCAATGAAAGCAGGACAAAGCTCTGCTGTAACAGAAAATAAACCCACCGCCCTGATGGTGTTTGTGGAACGGTTTGATCTCCCAGGAATCGTGATCATCTTTTTCATTTGGCGGAAACATTTTGTTGGAACAGTTCGCAGTTGATTTCTCTGAAGACGTGACGGCCACAAAAAAAGCAAAACATAGAAAAAGAAGCTGCCAGCCGAGGGTATATTTAGCTTTTTAGCGCCTCGTCTCCCTCGATACGCACATATTTACATCTCTGCCTCTCTAAAGAAGAAGAAGAAGAAGGAGCTCTGCAGCCTCCTCGCTTTAACACAGAGTGACACCCACGTTCATGTTTGCGTTGTTTTCCATGTAAACTTTTATTCATATTCCAACAGTTTAGCATACAAAGGCACATGTGGTCACCCCTCATCCAGGGCAGTCAGAGATTGCATAACACAAATATCATCATATATATAAAACAAGCCGTGAACAGATGTGTTTGATGTGAGATTTAGTGCAACCCGTTTAATTATTTTAGACCTCGATTCAGGCTTTTCATGATATCAGAAGGCAGAACCCTCTTTTTTTTTTTTTCTCAGCCAAAGATTAAAAACATCATTTCAAGCTTATCCAGGCAGATAAGTAATTGTCTGGAGCGCTGGGATGTGCGTGATTATCAAAAGAATACATTTTCTAAATTAGGCCAAGATAGTCTTCCTTGAATCAATTGCAAAAAGCTCTGCATAGATTGTTTAAAGTCATATTTAAAAGATTTGCATAGATTATCAATCGTAATAAAAAAAATTTGCCACTTCCCGAAAATTAATATAGAATGAATTAGCTGTGATAGTGCTGGCTTTATTGCATTTGAGAGAGTGTGTGTGTGTGTGTGTGTGTGTGTGTGTGTGTGTGTGTGTGCTGTAATGTCAAGGACAGGAAATTAAGGCAGTGTTTGAAGCCAATGTATTTGTCATGTCTCACCCAAAAGGAGCAGGTAACTGAGCTGCAAAGCCTGCTGGGAAGGATTCGATCGAACACACACCGGTATTTTGTGTGTTTGTGAGACCGAGCGACACACTCGGACACACACACTCGGACACACACACACTCTGAGTGTCATTTCTGTGTCAGTGTAGGAGCGACGGGAGTGTCGCCTGCTGCTTCTTCTTCTTCTTCTTCGTGTTCGTGTTGGTGTTGGTCGTCGCTCTCGTCCGTGTTTAAAGGGACGTTTATAAACTGGTAGCCCAAAAATAAAAACTCAGAGGATGAAGATAAAAAGGAACCCCACCCATCAGGGATTTAAACGAAAATAAAGAAGGATAAAAAAAGACAGTTGCATAGAGTATAAAGACGACAGCTCACTCCTTCGCCATTGTGTCAGCCGACACACGGAGCCGTCCAATCGCAGTGCAGTTTTATTCACTGCTGCCGTGGGTCTCACATTCACGCGTCTTTGAGTCCTGGCAACTATAACCGAAGAGAAATCAAACTAAACGGGGGCTACGACTCTTCAATATCACCTACATGTTAGTGTCACTTATCCCTTCTTTGTCTATATTGTTGATTATAAATGAAAACATAAAATAAAATCATAAAAATGAAGAAAAAACTTCAAAAATATAAAAACAGGAGTCATATTTCTGTACAATTTGTCCACACGTCTTTGTCTGAAGTCGTGTAAACTTTAAATCTACATAAAAGTTCATATAAAAGTGTAAAAAACTGTAAAAAAATTTGACGCTACACTTTAAAAATGATTAAAATCGCTGTTCTGGATAAGTCTGTCAATATCTACGACGTGTGCTCAGCTTTTGTAACACTTTGAGACATTTTTTAAAAAGATTTTAAGTCTAAATAAAATTTTAAACAGGAAAAAAAAAAAACAAAATTCAACTCCACTCCCCAAAGAATAAGAATAATAAACACAGCCTGCTTTGTCATGAAGTTTGCTCAGCTAATGTCGGACTTTTAAAACATTTTTAGATGATTTTATGTCCACATAATTATGAGTGAAAATGTCCAAACTGCTCCGCCCTCAAAACTGAGTCAGAGTTTCAGAGGAGTTCATCCTCATCCTCTTCTGTTTTAACTCTCTCAGTCCTTCATGGAGCTCTTCTAAACATTTTTAAGATCTTTTAAGTCCAAAACTTTTGTAAAGTGATAAAATTCAATATAACACCGTCAAGAACGAGGACGTTTGTCTGAATCAGTCACAGTCATGTTTGCCCAGCTCTTGTAAAACTCATATTTTTGATCTTTTAGGAGTAAAAATGTTTTTCATGTTGATATTTGAGAGTAAAAATCTTCACAACACCGACACCTTCAAAAATGAGTCACAGTCACATTTTAGGAGGAGTTCGTCCACATCTCCTCTCCTCAGCACCACCCCCCCAAAGTCAGAGTCCTCCATGACGCTCTCTCAGCTCTTCATGGTCATGTAGGTCGGATAATGCATCACGCAGCAGCGTGTTGGAGGTGCAAACTGTGCAGAGATTTCCAAATGTTGCAGCAGGAGTCGTGTGCAGACAGGAGCCCCAGCGGCTCTGGAGTCCAGACTGCAGAACGAGGATCCCTGCTGTCCCCCTCTGTTTGTGGGTTTGGGACCTCTGTGCACCAACACCTGCAAAATAAAGGAGATCTGACCTTAAGATACAGCTTTATACCTTTAAGGAAGCAAAAACACACAATCATGTGAATGTCAAAACAATTATTGACGACGGCAGAGAGTGAATGACGATCTTTTTTAGAAAAAGGAGCCTGCAGGGGCGGCTCTCTCGTGCCCTAAATCTGGCAGCAGCTGATGAGGGATTGAGGCTGAAGTTGAAAGGCCTTAGCGGGCGCCTGGTACGCTACGAGCCGCTAATACAAAGAGGAAGCATGTGACACGCCCTAAGCTAGGCTGAGGTGGACTTCAGAGGGCAATCTATGTTTTTTTCTGTTACATTTTCCAGCAGCTCAGACAAGCAACTTAAAATATTACAGCAGGTCAGCGGGTGCGGAAAGAGCCCATGATGCAGGCGTGCAGGTTTAGCCGCAGAAACCAACAACCGCAACTTAAAATGTGTTACCCCCGATCTCCACCTTCATCCTGATCGTCTCCTAAAAGGTCGTATCCTCCGATCGTAGCTGATCGTAACCATTCAAGTTAACGTGTCAATTTACACCGACTTCTTTCCGTTCGCCGGACGCCGGAGCATGGCGGATAAATTCAGCACAGATTAACCCGTGCTGGAAAGGAAGTCGGGCACAGACACAAAATAAAACATCCGGCTTCTTTTCAAAGTCACACCATGCAAACGGGCGGAGACGAACAAGTGAAAGGTTTTTAGACGTCATTTCACCCCGATGACACCATGGATGAGGAGATGCTGATTCTAGAAGTCTAGAAGTAGATTTCCTCCTCTGGAAGGACACAATCTACTGCTTATATGTCTATGTGTCTGTCTTTAGAGAGACGACTCGTTATCGTGTGATTGAACGTGAATCTGCAGGTTCTTGTGAGTTCTCAAGATTATCCGTAATCTGCAATGAAATTCGCTTCACCAACAGATCCCGTAGGAATTGGCAAAAACTGCAGCCGTTCTGGATGCAGCGAAAATTGGGGGTTAAAGTTGGCGCTTAGCAGTACGCCACGACGTTTAGGAAGGAAGAGGTGAGGAGACGAGGAAGGAGGGAGTGAGGGTAGTGGAGCAGAAAGGCAGTTTGGGGTATTGGTGTCGCGTTGAGTTATTGGCATCGTGGTCGTGTTTTGTTGAGAGGACTGCAGTGAATAAGCTTGTTAATAGTAAATTTACAGCCCCAGCATGTGGCCCAATAAAACCAGGGGATAGAGGGGATGATGAGAATGATGGTGAGTTTGTGTGTGTGTGTGAGGAGTTTGAGTGTGTGATGGGTGAGGATGGAGAAGAGGGGAGGAGGGTGGATGGGGTGTAGTTGGAGAAAAGGGGGGAGAAAAGTGGAAGGCGCCGGTAATTAAGAGAGTAAAAGGGTGTGAGAGAGGCGCACACCGCTCAAAGCAAACTTTGAGCCGGGATTCCTCACTTTTTATTTATGCACCCCCGTCCCTCTTCACTCTCTCCCCCTCTCGCTCTGTACTCCGCTGAATGAATAGCTATCACAGTGCCACCGTGTCCCCCTCCCTCCCCGTCAGCCCTCTCTGCACACCCCCCTCCTCCAGGACGGCTCTGAATAGGGAGCCGAATTGAGCAAACAGTCAGGCTGTCAGCTCAATAGGAGGTCTGGCCGTGAACTTGAAGTCCTTCCCAGGCCCCCAGCCTCACATTAGGGTGGGAGGGGTGGATGGGGAGACAAGAGGGAGGCGGTGGTGATGTGGGGGTTGCAGCCAGACTTTTTGGGGGGCCCCTTACGTGCCAGTGTTGCAGGGACCCCTGCCATAGAGGTTCCCAAGGCTGGTGCTCTTGCAGGAGTGATGGGGGCAGGGTGCCCCAGCTGCCTGCCTGCTCCCCTCCCTCTGCAGCTCTCAGTCTGGGCAAGAGACGGGATGGTGTCTGCTCCCCTCTGCCCAGAGCTCCTCTAGACCCTCTCTCTCACACACATCCAGACACAAGCTGCTGGCCGTGCCCACCCCCTCACCGCGGCCCTCCCAGGCTTCTCATCATCTCATTAGCCAACGCCAGCCACTCCACTGTCTACTGTGAGCATTGTTTTGGGCTCTGCATAATTTACACAGTAAATTGAGATCGGCCCCGGCCCCCTTTTCGGCTCAATCTACCACCTGTTTATGGAGGCCTTTCCGTGATTAGTGCGCTTTGGGTTTGACACAGTTACCGCCGCCGCACTTCTCAGGAAAGCCAAGCGACGCCTCCGCTTCGACAGCAAAAATATCAACAGAGAGAGCGCTTGGCATGACCTCCTTCTGAAACCGGCGCCACTTACAGCAAAGTGTGTGTAAATATTGGAAACGGGTCTTTGATCGAACCGTGAACCGTCAGCCCCTCTCCGCTAGCATAGCATGATGGACTTGACTGTAAGTTTGCGTCAGCAGCACCGTTCCTTTCTGTCTGACCTCCACACCACTACAAACAAAGGGAGGGCTCTCTGTTGCGTGGACAATGGCGTGCATTGTTTACCCGATGCCTTGCTTAATCAAGCCCAGCCGATGCTAATTGGTGTTTTGGTTTAAGCGGTTTTCAAAGTTGGGAGCTCCTCGCCCGGAATAATGCCGCGCTGCATAACGAGCTCGCTCGGGGAGAACAATACTCGACTTGTCTGAGCACCGACGGCCCTCCAACACCGGCCGCTCGCACAAAGAGAGGCTTTCCAGAGCTTTCCAGACTCTGTCCATGAAGGTTTCCACTTTCTCGCTTCTCCACCAGCTCCTCTCCATTATCAGTCCGCCGCTTTGTGCGGTTTTGTTCCACGCCACAATATTCGCTGTCGGAGAGTGTGAATAGTGGCTCAGGGATATCATCAGTGTCCTCTCTACAGATGAGTCCTTCTTGACATTTCTTTTGACCTTGTTTGAGGAAGAGATTTTCGGCATGAATCCGTCACTTTTCGCTCTGTTCATGCAAAAATACGGCGAGCTAAATCACCTCACCTCACTGATTCACGTCTGTAAGTTTGGGACTGTATTGTGGGACTCTATATTGTCTATGACGCACGGTTCGCATCGTGTCTCCGCCGTCGCCGCCATGTCGGGGCACACGCGTGTGAGGATGGCACGAGAATTCCCAAACGGTAAAGAAAACATGGCGCTGCGGAGGACAGATGCCCGCTGAAAGCCTCCTGAGAGAGGCATTGAGAGCAAGAGTGATTTAATGTGAACACACATACAACACACGCTCCGCCCACATCAGCTCGCCCTCCCCTCCGCCCATCCGTGTGAAGGATGCAATTAACAAAAATATCCGAGGTGATTAAAACCGGGGCGATAGTTTGCCAGGGAAAGAGACGAGGGCATGGGGAGGGGGAAGAGGGGTCTGGGGTGGCGCCGACGTAGGGATGCAACATGGCGGGCGCGGTGGGTTTGGAGTTACCTGCACTGGCTGGTCCTTCCACTTCCATTTCATGCCAGTGTTGCTCTAAGATGGTGGCGCGGGCTGCGTCTCGTTGTACAGGAAAAAGGGGCAGTCTGCTGAGGATGGAGCGGAGGAGGAAGGGAGGAGGAGGAGGAGGAGGAGGAGGGAAGAGGCGATGCAGAGGAGGGCGAGGAGAGAGGGAGGGCAGAATCAACAGCAACCCCTCCTCCTCCTCCTTCTTCTCTGTTTTTCAGTCTCCTTTTGCCAGCTTTCCTTCAGTGACGAGGTGCTGCCGGTCCGCCTGCACAGAAAACAGGGATGGGAAAAATCAGAGGGCAAGAGGGACATTTTTTAGAGCGTGCTTTATCCATCAAAACGCACATGTATAGTTCACGGATACATACGACACACACACACACACACACACACACCTTTTCATGTCTGTTCTCATGGTACAGTCTGCCCCTGAGCATGCAAATGACTTTCATTATGCAAATGCATGCAAATCAGATCCAACCATCTGAGAATCAAGGGTGGGAAAGAAAAAAAAACTCGACACAGAGATTGAATGAAAGAATGAAAGAGAAAAAGGGGACAAGAGAGAAATCCTTCTGAGTGGCAGGAGGCGGTAAGTTAGGTAAACGCTCTGTGGAAAACAACGCTAGCCCAATTGGACAAACACGATTACCTTCTTTTATTGTGCCTACCACTTCATTTTTTTGCCTCTAATTTGCCGCACCCTTGTCATTTTTACGGGAAAGCGGGTTGTTGTTTTTTTGTGTGTGTTTCTGTTTGATGTCTGAGCCTTCTGTAGCTCATGTAAACACCACGCTACGTAAAAATTCAAGGACACCGGTGATGCTCTGCATTCCCGCCACCAACACCTACCCTGCATGTGACAGCTGCGGTTCGGCATTAGTGGGAATAAAACCACGTTTTGAGCCGCTGCTCAGCTCTGTTGACACAAGTTAAGCTAGCTTGAATGTGACGTAGCTCTGGCAAAGCTGGCTGCTCTGTTGTTGTGCGTTTCCTTTTGAGCCCTAACAGCTGACTCAAAGCTTCATAATAGGATGCTCTGTTTTTGTGCGTGCATCAGTGCAAAAATAATAAGCAGGACTAGCTTAAAGCGATCATTAAGGGGCTAAATGTTATTAGCAGTAACACACAGCGGCCTGAGAAGAAAGAGGTTAGATTTAAAAGCCTTAAAACCAGCACCGAAATCCTCCCCACACCTGCCTGTGCAAACCTGCGAGCAGCACAATGTAACCGGCGTGCTAAGTTCAATATTCTCTGGCAGGTGGAGTCTGTATCTCTCAGGTTAAGCCGCGTGGTTCGTGAACCCTTCTATTCAAAGAAATCAACAAAGAAAGCTGACTAATCGGTGAACAGAGCGCGCTGTCTGATTCTGATAATACTCGGAGCGCGGCAGAAAGGATCCTCCATTAGCCGGCCGAGGAGGGAGCCAGCTTTTGTCTCTGGGTGTCAGTAGGGGAAGACTATGAGTGAAAATGGAATAAGGTGGTAAAAACAGGGGTGACTTGGAGTGTGAGAGAGTTGGGGTGGGTAAGCAGGGAGGGGAAGGCCGACAGGGGTGGGGTACCGCTGAATGGTGGCAAACCTCTCCTAATTGGCACTTGACATTTTTTTGCCATTGGCACTGGAGTGGGCCAGCTTTCAAGCCCTCTCCGGGTCCTTGTTGGAAAAGTGCCTTATGCAAATATGTCGAATGGGCTCTATTGTGAAGCCTCTGATATTAACAGCTCACGCAACAATGAAATTGTGTGCTCACTCTGGACTCGTAGGTGTGTGAGAGAGAGAGCTAGACAATGGCAGCGGGAGCAGCTTCAGTCTGAACAGACCCTCCATCGGATGCTTTGCCAAGTCATTTCAGCAGAATGTTTTTTTTTTTTTTTCTGAGGGCCGAGCTCTCGGTAAAAGCTTTATTAACCACTGAAACAAACAAATGCACGCAGTATTTCGCTCCGGCTCTGAAAGTGTCTCTGTTTATTCTGCTGCTGAATGGCTCGATTTACCCGGGTTGGAAATACTGAGGCTACACATAGGACAAAAAAAAGGCTTCACTCATCCTCTTTGAAAGATACTTCCCCTCTTAAAACATCACTGTCTCGGCTCTAAATGCGAAAATGTATTCATGCCTCGGCGCCGTGCTGCACTCCCTCTGATATTTCTTTCTTCCTCTCTGTGCCCGCATTGTTTACCCTTAACTCGCTCCCTTGGGTGAGCACAGCTCCAGATCTAAAGATATCCGCAGATTCCCTTTGGAGAAAACTTGGCAAATCAGCGGAGAAATGTTGCAAATACTGAGCTGCGCTTTCAAACGCAGCGAAGATGATAAGAGGCCGGTGTTCGACAGCCGGGCCACACAAAGTCTCCTCTACAACTTCTGAGTTGACAAGGTCTGAGGGAATCTTGTCGTCTCAGCACACTAAACAAATTTCATCTTTATCTCCGACGACTCGAAACCAAACGGAGCGAGCGGGTCAGACAGCAGCAGCCGCCCCCCGTGTGGTCCGACCACGGTACACCTGTTACCGCTAAGTTGCCAAACTTAATCTCCTTTGTCTGCGGAGGCCCATTGACTTCTGCAAGACACATTCATTTGGAGGGAACGCGGCGCTGTCGTAGAAAATAACAGGTCTGGCCTTGTGCTCCAGGCCAACAGCGAAGCCATTTTCCAGACCCTGTTGGTGTGTCCCGAGCGGAGAAAGAGAGGCAGAGAAAAGGGGGCAGGAATCACTGGGTCTTATTCAGAAAACTGTCTGGCTGCTCGGACCCGGCGGGGGTGAAAGGGAGGCAAAGGGGTGCTTTGTCCCTCAGTGACAAGTGGACTAGCTCTATTGACTGTAAAGTCTACTGGTGGGGGGGCCAGCAGGACTCGGCCACAATGGCTGTTTTTCTATTTGACACTTGGAGTCTAAATCTGCTTGCCTAGTGCATGAGAGCAAAGACAAACCCACCACCCTCCTCCTCCTCCTCCTCTTCTACCCTCTCTCTCTCTCTCTATTTCAGACCCTGCCATGGGACACAGGAAAAGAGAGAGAGAAAAAGCCCTAAGGTGGTTTTTGGGGAGCTCACCCATCTCTGTGCCACTTCCAGGCAGGCAGAAGCTAAGACGGTCTCTCCGTCGGGTCCCCTGTGTGGAGTGTTAGCGATATAACTGTGCCGCACACAGAGCTAGCACAAAGCGTTTGCACTATGACATGTGTCTCCCAGGGCACAGCTTAGGGTATAAACACAATCTGTCCAAGACTTCACTTCCTATTTAGCCCCACGACTGTAACTGACACAGAAAGGAAGCAGGAAGGGTTGAGGAGTTATCTCTCCAGCACTGAGAATCTGCCGGCCTTGCATGTGCAAAATGTTTAAATTTGCACCTGCAGAGAAACCATGTGCGTCGTCTTTCTATCGTGTCAGAGAAGGAACCGTGCACAACTTTGCACCCAAGAAGAGGACATCTCTAGCTGTCACTCCTCGTTTCTAGCTCAAATGTCACTCTCTGCACCTGCACTGCAGCAGGCATGCATGCATGTACAGCTGCAGGGCTTGTGAGTTTTGGTTGCCATGCACGCCTTCAGGAATCTCACTTCAGCCTTTTCAGATTTGCGGCGTGTCAATCTGAATATCTCCAAACCTGAGAGTGACGTTTGGGACGGCCAACCGCCACCAGGAATATACTGGAGCCTCAGAGCTCCAGAGCCTGGAGACCTCGAGAACAATCCTTCACGGCCTCTCCCAGCAGGAGTGACCCTCTAGCTTTGATGGGCAGAAAGGAAATCACACCTTCAATCAGCCATCAGAGGCCTGGAGGTTGAAGATCTGATTGACCAATTACTCCTCACCGTGAGCCCGCTGCAGAGGACCCGAAGGCTGGGATTGTTCTCCGTGTCCTGCTCATGGATCTCGTCACTGGGGGCACTTTCTGCTTGATTGCCCCTCGACCACTCCCCCCCTTCGCCTCGCCTTGTGCGCACACAGCAGCATTCAGAGATATCCCATCAGGCCTTTCCACATGGTAGCACCTCCTGCAATGGAGGCTTTGCCACGGCCCATTCACAACCAAGCCAACTGTCACGTCAAATCAAACAACGGCCAGGACCCCAAATCAAACAGCTTTTATGCACGAGGGAGAAAGGAGTAAAGGAGAAGGTGGGAAGGAGGGAAAAAATCAACTTAACAAAATTGGCCTCAAATAAATTTGGGTCTGTGTGCGGCGAAGGTGCCGGTGGGGAGTTTGGCGCCCGGATTAACTCTGAGGAGGGAGTACTCTCAACCCACACTATCCAAGTCTGAACATATGTATAATTCATCGCCCCGTATGCAGCACATTCTTGTCTTATTGCATGTCCTCGTAAAGACGCAGGGACTCATGCATCTGGATCGGTGAATAGAGCATTGAGTAAACCGGCTACCAAACTGATTAGCCAATAGCGACTTGTTTTAGTCCACCCGTGGGTCCTTTTTTCTGCGAGTCTGTCACTCCCAGCCATGTGATAGTACGGCTAAGCCCCTGCATGCAGCCACACACACCAGGATCATGGGGCTTATTAGATTAAAAGTGATCCTGTTGCACCATCACTGCAGAACGCTGAATCTGGACGACCGTGTCCTGTTTGTTTCATGACGTCCTGCATGTCTACGTGGTGACAGACTGAGAGTCAAAGCGTGTTCGAAGCCTTACAGTCATGTGTGAAGCGTCTCAAACCCTCATGGTTGGATTGTCACACCTTCACACACACTCAAACACATCCTACCTTCATCTGCATCAGGCTCCAGCCTCCTCCTTTTTGTCCGTTTTGCGTCTTCAGATCTCGAAGGAGGTTTTCAGTGTTTTCTCTGAGGGAGTTGCGTTTTGGGGTCTTGATGCCTTTTCAGGAGTGTAATGGGATTCTTGTTACTTTCGGTTATCTAGCTTTATGAAGAATGTACATCACTCATACAGCTAGATAACCAAAGATAACAACCAACCCCTAAGGCTACCCATCCTCTCAAGCCACAGGCGGCGTGACATGGGCCGACTTCAGACCTGGAAGCAGATGAAAAAGTTATTGACTGAGCCAGAGTCCACCTCTTTAGTTTGACATGATGTGATTGATTATACAGACTGACCAGAGAAGGAGGTGAAGTGAGTGGAAAAAGAGCGAAACACGGAGTACAGATCCAAGAGCGGTTCACGGGGACTCTGAACAAAGGCGCCACGCTCCCGGCCTGGGGCCTTGTTTCCTCGCTCAGCCTAAAGCAGCCCTTAAATGTCCTGACCCTTCGTTTTGTGATGTCACCAAGTGGCCCCTCATCCCCGCCTTGAAACCACTCGGCCAATCAGAAACCACCCTCTGTGCAGAGATTGCTCTGATTGGCTTGCGAGTAATGCCTCCATATCAAAAACTCCCCTCGGTAAAACAATCAGAGGAAAAAACAGAAATGCACAAAAGTTGTCCAACCAGTCCAAACCAGCCGTGGCGCCATCTTTCCCTTCTGCGGCCCAGCGCCCGCTCCTATGGCGCATCCGCCCTCACCCACAGCTTCTCTCCATAGGAGGCTGATGGCTTCAAACGCCGCCCCCCGTGACGACCCAAATGCATTTTTAAATTAAAAGATCCTGGTTGTTTGACTACAGAAGAAACGGGTTTGTCTTCATTTGCATTATCTGATGCTAGAGCAGTGGAGGCAAAGACGGAGACGTACACGCTTAGTACGACAAAAACCTCCTCACACAAAACCATGGAAACACACGCCAACAAACTCTGCTGAAGGTGCGAGAAAACACGGCTAATCACACACCAAACACACCCGCACATGTGCAGAGAGACAATGCTCCAGCACACACACACACTCACATGTGGTGGCACATGGCACAGGGCCCCTTCTAATTAAAGCTGCTCTGTGTGCCCAGAGCCCTGTTGTGGTTAGGCTCCGCCCCCACCACCGCCAACACCGAGCAAAGCCCCTCAAACTGAGAGCAGAAAGAGAGATGGAGAGATACTAAAAGAAAGAAAGAGAGAGAGAGAGGGTGAGGCTCCGATTATTCTCGGCCTCCATCACTTCAACCCTGAACACCAACACCACCACCACTCTGAAGAGGGTTAGCTAAGACGGCTACATCCCAGTTAGCACAGTCCCACTGGTATTGTTCTCCCACCAGGTTACGTCTTCTTCTTCTTCTACTGTCTGAATTTGTGTAGATTTTTTAAAATAAAGGTGTTTAGTAGCCGTTCAGGAGGCTGCCACCGTGACACGGTTCCTCGTCAAGGTGCTTTGTTTAAATCCACAAGGACAAAGCCGGAGGAGAAACAAGCTCTGCTCCTCTGCTGTTACTGCTGCTGCTGCTGCTGCTGAACAATACCAACCTCTCTCTCTCTCTCTCTCCTTCTCTCTCTCTCTGTCTCACACACACCTGATGTGTGAACTCTCACATGATATGACAATATTTAAAAAATGCACATGCATGCAGTCACACACATCCACACACACTTGCAGAAATCCAAAGTAGCAGTAAGAACAGGCATTTTCTAATTCCTAATTTATTATTAATTTTTATTCATATTTCTAATTTATTTTAAGGTCCAAAAAAAATTCCAAAATATTCAACAAATTTAAACAAATGTCCTTTTTTTAATTTCAGATTTCTTAAATAAACTTTCTCCTTTTTTTCCTCTTTTTTCAGTTCGAACTCTGCGGTAATTCGTCACAATATCATTTGCTTTGAAATGATGCAGGATATAACCATTAAGAGTTTTAATCGCTGCAGACTTGTGCTGTGAGCTTTATGACTCGTTTTAAGATCAGCTCTATTTTCATGATTCC